TCTGGGCACAAAGGATGAGGTGAGCGGTGGTTCACAGTGGAGCAGCTAAAAGCAGGAAAGTTATGCTACTCCCAGTAATGATAATGGAATCCCATTATTGTTCCACTGGTAGAATGATAAGATAATACGTGGAGAATTCAGAAATTGTCAGCCATATTTATCCCTTTAGTCAATGAACAAAACTTTCATTTGGCAAAAGGTATTATCAAAAATATAATTTCTGGGCCTTATTTATCAAATATAAATCTGAAAATTTATGACCAAAAGCAAACTTATCCAAGCCTGGTATTGGGAACTAATGCCATCCCAGATAAATGTGTATCAATCTTCAGTGGATCAATATTGTTTTTAATGTATCACCCCAGTGTCACTATATTTTTAGCTGTTGGTGCTATTTGAAAACAGAGAAGATAATTCCAAGTTGTTTTGGAATAGAGAAACTCTGAAAAGAATAAACATATTTTTAATTTGTGACTAAGACTTCCATTGATTATGAATAACATTTATATAAATTTGACAGGGTTAATCCCTTTTAAGTTTGAGCCATTAAAAGATCAATCAGCCTTTGTTTTGTAGAACTGTTTTATACATTTATATTATTGGATTGTTCTTTATTATGAAAGTGTTTGATTATGTCTCTTGCTAAAGAATGGAGGGAATTTAATTACCTCCAAGAAATTACTAAATCTGAGGAAGTATTTTACAAAATGCCATTCTTTACTTAATAAAGGACCAGAACCATATTTCATGAGTTTCTGTTCATCTGACAGCACTGTGGTGTTTGTAATTGTGTATATAAAGCCATCAGTCTTCTAGAACCATCTTCAGCTCAGCAAGCCCCAAAGCATGGTCCATTCTGCTCAGATCTGATCAGCATCTTTATAGCTTATCAGCCTTGGGGTTCAATTTTGTTTTGGATGCTTTTATAAATGAGCACAATCACTGGTGAATCTGTTCTTCCAGATTGCAAAGAGAAAAATCGAGAGAGGAACTTTAGTAGATTACAGTGTCACTGAGAATAAAGTACAAGCACAAATGCACCTCAAGTCGTCTCAGGGATGATTTTGTCGGGTGTACATTTTCAGTTTTAGTTCAGTAAAATTAGATGATTGTCTTAGTTATTATTGTTTTTGAAGTTATGCGCTAACCCCAGGCTAGGAGTATGATCAATGCACTATCTAACAAAATCAATTTGCTCCAAAGTACTATTTTTTTCTTAAATGGAAGAAAAGATAAAAGGAAAGAAAAGTAGCGATAGCTGAAAACTGTGAGAATTATTTCAGGACTTTCTTTTCCTGGACAGGTATGTGAGTATGATGCTTTTTATATTTCTCAGAATTAGACTCAACAGTGTGATTGTTCTCAGAATCCAAGACAGCTGCAGAAATATCAGAGGCCAAGGGGAAATGTCAACCATTTTATCAGACTTTTTACTTGTGAAATTTATCCAGAAAAGGGGTATGATATTTACTTCAATGAGCTTTAATAGGTCAGTGAGCAATTAGATGTTAACACTGACAAAAATTTTCTTACATATATTTATGAATTTTTTTGCTATATTCAATTTAATTTAATATTCTATTTAATATTTTAATAGAAGAAACAGGCCAAGATATCCAAAAGTCAGGATATCCAATATTCAAAAAAATTTATTCATAAATTGTTGAGTTTCTGAAAGACTATGAGATTGTCAAAGCAACTGTATTATCTGGCCAAAGGTAATTTTCTCTACTGTGCTACAATCTTAGGGGAGAAACAGCGGTGTCAAAAACCCAGGTCAATCCCATCCCACTCCTGTAAACCCATTTCTCAGTTATTATGAACTATCACTATCACAGAGACTGTTCTCGGCACTCAGCGCAGTAGCAAACACTGACGCGAATGAGCCTCAGAGAACATGTAGTTTGCATACTTCCTGTCTATCCATTCTGTGCAGGCCATCACATGCTACACTGTCTTTCTTTAAACTGGAAAATGAGACATGCCACATGGTCCAGCAATAGCTCTCTTTAGTATTTACCCACACAAAAACTTCAGAGCCTCTTGATTCATAATTGCCAAACTTTGGTACAAAAAGGATGTCCTTTGTCAGTGAACCGGTAGATAAACTGTGGTTCATACAGAGAATAAAATGATAAACTGCGGTTTATACAGACAATAAAATATTATTCCACACTAAGAAGAAATGAAAAACTGTAGAGGAAATGGAAATGCATATTATTAAGCAGAAGAAGCCTCTCTTATAAGGCTACATCCTGTACCATTTCTACTATGCAACATTCTGGAAAAGTAAAAAGATCAGTGGTTACAAGGAGTCAGGGAGAGAGTGGGATGAAGAGGTAAAGCACAGAGGATTTTTAGGGCAATGAAACTACATATTCTGTATGAGACCCTTATGATGGCCGTGACAATATATATTTGTCAAAAAAAAAAATCACAAAAACAGCAAAGAATGCACTACATCAAGAGGGAACACAACAAAGTCATCTGTGGACTCTGCGTGACAATGATGTGTCCCCTTGGGTTCCTGGATTGTAGCAAACACACCACCCTGGCGGCAGTTGTTGATAATGAAGGAGGGGCACATGTGTAGAGGGAGAGACTATATGGGAACTTTCTGTACCTCCTGCTCAATTTTGCTGTGAGCCTACAATACTCAAAAAAATAAAGTCTATTTTAAACATATTGAAATGAATTCCTGAGACTTACATGCATTTATGCCCATAATTTATTTTCAATGACATAATAATAAAGTTCCTCTCTTGATTTTTCAGTCCTCACAACATCCTTCAGAATCAAGCACGTATCTGACCATTTTGGCTGGATTTGCCTGGCCAGTCACTTTGATCTAGACGAATCAAGTAGGAGAGGAAAAATACCAAGTCAACAAACAAGATTTCCGGTCACGTGGGCTTACAACTTGTCGTTTTGCCATTTTTATATCTGATGTCATGAAAGAACTTCCTACAACTTAAAAATGATTTACACTAATTTTTACATATTTTTTCTAAGTAAGACAAAATTACTGATATTTCTCTAAAAATAAAATGAATGGCATCTCTACATGTCCACCCTAGGATTCCTTCTTTCTTTGTGAATTTTATTTCATGGAACTAAGAATTGTTCAATGTATTACTATATCTATTTCAGTGCATTAATATGAAAGCTTTTGAATTCAAAAGTGGGTGCCCTGTTGTCCAGAGTCTCCCAAGTTCTGAAGTTTGGGGAGAACACTGGCTTTGAGCAAGACTGGACGCTTTAGAGGAGAGCCACAAAGGAAAATGGTAAGGAAAAGGGAAGGAATGGGTCATCTAAGAGTGCTGGATTTATGCATCATGGAAATAAGGTACTCCATCATCATCATATGATCAGGCCAAAGAGAAACCTGAAAGAAAAAAGAATCATAAAAATGTACAGCCTAGGGAGTGGAAATCTCTCAACCAGTTCTCTTACCCATTGGTGAGGGGGAGAGGGTTTTCAAGGACAACAATAGTGGAGAAAAGTGAAAGTAACCTAAAAAGAGCAGTGTCTGAGAGACAAAATTGACGGTTATGGTGTCTCTCTAACAGAAGATTCAGAGCTAAAATATTTCTGGCCTACAGTAGCTGGTTCCACTGGTGTAAAGAGACCACTAATGTGTTATCTACCAAGGCCACCATAGCTGAGGAATGAGACTCACTAGCACATCCCAGGCAGTGTGAACAATGTGACTTCACCTTCGAAATGTTAAATTGACTTGCAAAGAAAAATAAATAAGAAATATAATCAGTTCTTTGGAAACTAAACATACAAATTTGAGTATAGATGTTGGTAAGAAAGTTTGGGTGGCATTGATGCATATGCTTTGCTGTTTGGCTTTTTGGAGAAAGATCTAAATAGAAAAAAATAAAAAGCTCCCTGGGTTCTGAGCTTATCAGATTTGGAAAACAGGTACAAGTAAAAGACAACAGGGTGACCTCGTTGAAGCACAGGATTGGGGTGAGTCTGGCTTAATTTGTTATGTTAAGATGAAGCAAACATTTATTCAGTAATACTATGGACCAGAAACTTCCTTGTTAATCTCATTTGATAAAACTACTTTGCAAGATACATATTATTTTTAGGTTATTTTTCTGTGATAAGAGCACTTAATGTAACATCTATTCTCTCTTTAAAAAAAAAACAAACAGGATTTTATTCATTTGAGAGGTAGAGTTACAGACAGAGAGAGGGAGATAGAGAGAAAGGTCTTCCATCCGCTGGTTCATTCCCCCAAATGGCCCCAATGGTTGGAGCTGTGTCAACCTGAAGCCAGAAGCCAGATACTTCATTTGTGTCTCCCACGTAGGTGCAGGGGCCCAAACACTCGGGTCATCTCTACTGCTCTCCCAGGCCATTCCAAGAGAGCTGGATCAGAAGAGGAACAGCCAGAACTAGAACCAGGGCCCACATGGGATGCCAGCACCACAGGCAGAGGATTAACTTACTGCACCACAGTGCCAGCCCCAATATCTTTCCTCTTAACAAATGTTTATATGTACAGTTCAGCAAATCTCTAGATTCTATTTTGGCTTAACTAAAACTTTGGGTCATTAATTAATAATTCCCCTATTCACTTCTTCTCCATCTCCTGACAACTCCATCCCATTTTTGATTCTATAAATTCAAATATTTCAGATAAATCATATAATGGAAACCTGTAATATCTTTCTGGGGCTGACTAAATTCACTCAGCATAACATACTCAAGTTTCATTCACATTGTCACATATTACAATTTCCTTTTTGCTGAGGCTAAATAATACCCCATTGTGTGTCTGTAGTACATTTTCCTTATCCATTCATCTGTTTATGGAGATTGAGGTTGTTTCCACATCTTTGATATTGTGTGAATCAGACTGCAATGAACATGGGACTACAGCTTTCTCTTCAAGATCCTGATTTCCGTTCTTTTGGATGAATGCATAGAGTGAGATTGCTACATCATATTGTAGTTCTATTTCTAATTTTCTGAGAAGTCACTTTCCTGTTTTCCATAGCAGCTGTACCATTTTGCATTTCTACCAGCATCATGCGAGGATTCCAGTTTCTTCACATCCTCATCATTTCTTGCTGTCTTTGGGTTTTTTGGAAATAATCATCCAGACAGGTGTGAGGTGATATTTCATTGTGGTTTTGCTGTGCAATTCCATGTTGATTAGTGATGTTGATAATGCTGGTTATCTGTGTAGTCTCTTTGGAGAAATGTTTGTTCAGGTCCTAGGACATCAACAGAGTGAAAAGACAACCTCCGCAACGAAAAATATTTACAAACATATCTGATAGCTGCTAATTTCCAAAATATATAAGGAATCACCACAACTCCATAGTCTAAAGGCCTAAAACTCCAATTTAAAAATGGATAAATGAGGTGGGTGTTTGGTGCAGCTGAGATGGATGCCCACATCCTGTAGCCAAGTGCCCAGTGTCATAGCTGGCCACACTCATGATCCCAGCTGCTTACTGACGCACATTATTATCCCTAAGGGATACAACTTTGTGAAATCTATTCACTTATGAAACTTCCTTGGAAGTATTAGAGAAACATAGTGAAGATGGAGATGGAGAAACCAAGTAAAGTCCAGGAATCAGCCTCCCTGCTTTGCCCCTGAGACCTCTCCTAAATGCAGCCCTGCCTCAGGAGGAGAGTTCCATAGAGGGGCTACGACTCCCCCAAGAAAGTCTACATCAGAGCTAAATGGATGTGTGTGTGTGTGTGTGTGTGTGTTGGATGAAAAAGTACACTTTAATTACTCCACTGCAGTAAGTTAAAGAAAGCTTCAAAGAAATACTGAAGCATGCTGGCAGACAATCAAAACTATTTAACGGTTAGCCAGACAAGTGGAGTCTTGCGGTCTTAATCTTAGTAATGGTTTAAAGAACCCTCCCCATTCACTGAAGCCTCTACTCCTCTGCACATCCTTTCTGTTTCCATGCAAAGAACACCAGGCAACCATCACCCAATGCTCAGATCTTGCCCCGATGGAGAGGAAGTAAGGAAATGCAACTTCAACAGAGGGGTTCCTTTCTTATTGGTCACGGTCACGCTACTCAAATAGGAGGAAATCTGCAACCCATTAGACATTTTTCCTCCCGCATTAATAGTTACAAAAATTAATTATATTGTGCAGCCGTTACTATTATTGGGTTTTCTTTTCCAGTTGGAAAATGTTTTTAAAGGGCTGTGTTTGGATAGCAGCATGTAGAGACAATTAGAACATGAAAAAAAGAAAACGGCTCGAAAGAGTGGGCAGATTTGCAGTCCTCTCCTGCAGGATGGGAGAGAGAAGACAGAGAGGAAAGGAGAGGAGGGTGTCAAGATAAAAAGCAGACAAGGTACTCGGCCTATGAGGTGACATGAGTAATTCATCAGACTGGCCGGTTCAGTAAAACTAGTCCCAAATAACAAATAATCAACCATGGACGCTTGAAACTTTTCAAACTGATCAAGATACATTACCCATTCTGTGCCCCATCCTGCCCTTGGAGTTCATTCCTAGTGGAAAGAAAATTTGAATCAAACTTCTTGCCCAAAATTGCATGAGTGCTCTTGCAACATCTAAGGAATTACACCTTTCAATGTGCAGGTCACAGAGATATCCATGCAAGGACCAGGTTCTCTTCCCAATAGTGTGGCAGAATCTGTGATCATACTGGAATCGAGAGATCATTTAAAATATTGTGCTACTGCCCTTGGCAGTTTGACTAGTTCACATTCAGAACACATTTTATGACGTGGCATTTTCAAAGTGTGCATAAACTGTAGAACTGTAGGACTGTAGGCAGCTTTACATAGCATCTGATTAAATTTCTTCAATTTCCAGATGAGGAAACGAGGCCTGAGGAGATTGACTTGACCCAAGGTAAGAACTAACCACTGACAGAGTGGGAATTGAACCTGCCAATTTCCTCCATGCAAAACACTGGTAACAGAAAATCAAGTAAAATGTCTTTGCTTCCATAGATATAGCTACATTCTACATTTCAGCTTTAATGGAATATAACATGACTTAAACAACTGAAATTCAACTATGTTTCCCACATTCATTTTATATATTAATGTGTTTACAATGTACATTTACACGTTTTTACAATAGTAAACATCATATTTACACACATAACTCCAATCTCAAAACAAGACAACAGAATAGTTTAAAAGCAAGATTTATTTTCTTGTAAAATATTTCAAGGTATTAAGTAGTTTCATGGTCAGGAAGTCAACTTCTCCTTGATGTTTCGGGGTAGACACTTGGAACAGCAATTAAGAAACTGCTTGGAACAACAGCATCCCATATCGCAGCCCTACATTCCAGTCCTGGCTCTGCTTCCAATTCCAGCTTTGCTTTAATGCACACCCTGGGAGGCAGCAAGTGAAAGCCCACGTACATGGGTCCCCGCCATCCACGTGAGAGATCTGGATTGTGTTCTTGGCTATGCGAGGCATGTGGGTGAACCACTGGATGGAAGGGTGCTCGCTCGCTCTCTCTCTCTTTCTCTCCCCCCCATCTCCCTCTTCCTTTCCCTTTCTCTCACTGTCTGTTTGCCTTTCAAGTAACATAATTAATTAATCAAAATTGCTTCTTAACACTATCAAAAAGCACACAATAATCATTTTTCCATTTCAATTAAGGGAATGTATTTTCTATAAAGTGTTAAGTAATCATGAGAGAAGGATTATCTTATGATTATGTGAATTTATTACAGTGACATTTATTAATTAATAGTTAAGAAGTAACTAGAAATTATTTTATATATGTAATGACAACAGATATAGCACAGCAGGATTTGCCAAACATTTTCAGTTTCTCAGCAATCTAAGATCCCAAGTAACAAGGTTGGCACTTGGATTCTGGCCTTTTGGCTCAGTGGCTTTTTTTTATAGTTTTGTTAATGGGAAGATAGTCTATTTATGGGAAAACACTTTTTAATGACATTTAAAAATATGTGGAATATCTGTTGTTTTTGACTACCCAGCTAGCCTTCTTTCTAACAATGGTACCCTGATTTTTTGCCCTCTCATTTCTTGTGGTCCAGGCATCTAAATTCCCTCCTCTGGACCACACTAGCACCCTAACTCCTGTCTCCCAGCAGCTTTGTGGGATTATGGCTCAGACCTAATCCACAGATTCCAGTCCCTCTTAACCATGGTTGCCTTGGCCATATGTGTGGGACAAAGTCAATCCAATAAGACTGAGTCCTAGAATTTTCACTGGAACTCTCATGAAAGAGGTTCTCTTCCCACTAGGAATTGCTAAGCTAAAAGGACATAAGCTGAGAGCAAACATTTGCCAGTTTATAAGGAGACCCAGTCTGAAAAAAAAGAAAAGAAAATGAAACCACAAAGAAAGTAGAGTGGAGAGATAATCACTGATGTCTTGAATATCACCCTTGTCTGGGATCATCATGCCTGCGTGGGAATAACCTTGGTGGTTCAGGGGCCTGGATCAACACGTTTCCCCCTACCCAGCCACCCTGCATTTGCTTGTTTCTGCTGTAACCAGCAGAAGTGGGGTTTTATTCTCTTGCAGCCAAGACTTTCTATACATACCACACAGCAGGAGTTTAAACTGGAAAGTGGAAGGAATCCTTGACTTTGTACTTTGAGGTAGTGTTATCCATTTAAAGGAAACATTAAAAGCTAGTGTAAAATGAGAGATTTACATTCTGAATTCTTACATTTGCCTCTAACCTCTAACCTTTTTCGCTGTTTTCTAAGGCCTACTTTCTGGGATAACATTGTGTTTTCTGAGAATATCCAGAAAATTTTAAAAACAACAACAAATACTGAACAGTATGAGGAGTTCCTAAAAAACATATATCATTACAAAATTATGTATGGATTTCTGAAAAATATTCAACCAAAATAAACACATATTTCAATTCAATTTATACACAGACTGTTTAAAGTCCCCTTGTACTTTGGGTTACTCTTTTTCTACTATTGGCAGATTGGCTGGTCCAGACAGAAGCATGAGAAGATAATTCTCTTCGAAGGCACTCTATTGAGTTGGTTACAAAGGTTGTACAAACCTAACTGCTTTTTCTGAAGAAGGAGGCACTGAGAACTCTGTTAGAACGCTCGTGTCAGAAAATATGAGTCTTTTGGCCATAACATTTAGGGTCTTTTTTTTTAAGAGTCGTTTTTTTAAATTAAGTTTGGAGAAATAAGAGAAGTCATATATGTGTCACTTGGTGATTTTAACAAGTTGGTTAATAATGGTGCTTTAATATATCTCATAAAAAAATCAATTGTCTTAATTCTATTAATGCAGTGTGCTAAATTTCCTCTACATCTTCTCAAATACCTAGACATGATGTCATTCAGCATTAGGACATTATCGTCTTCCTTACTCCTGCCTTATCATCGTTGGCAGAAATGCATGTAACAGAGCAATTATTCTGTGGCAGTGCATCATGATGTGAAATAACATGATTATTTTCAAAAGACTGTGCAGGGAACTTGGTGTTCCTGATAGTAAACTTAACAGATGCTTATACTACAGATATGAATCATATTTCTGCCATAAGTTTTAATATTTTGAATGTTTCTGGAACCCAAAGTTAATGTTATAGGAACCCATAAAATGCAAAAATGACCTTAAAGAGAAGCTGTCACCTTTCATTAAGTGGTTTTAGTTCACAAGTATTGATTATAAGATAGCAATAATGGATGATGTTAAAATGTAACTATACCTTATATTTATATGCCTCTTTCAAGTGTAGACATATCTCAACTCAACAATCCTACAAGATAAGCCAGAGATAAGTATTCCTCAGTAAAAATACTGAGTAAGAAAAATAAGTTCTTGGGGCGGGCATTTGTCACAGTGCTTACATCACCACTTGGCGATTCTGCATCCTGTATCAGAATCCCTGGTTCATGTCGTGACTCCTCCACTTCCAATTCAGCTTCCTGCTATGGTACATCCTGGAAGCAGCAGGTGACAGCTCAGGTGCTTGGGTCCCTCTCAGCCATGTAGGAAACTCACATTGAGTTGTGGGCTCCTGGTTTATACAGAGGCTTGCCCTGGTTGTTGCAAGCATTTGAGAAGTGAGTCAGTGTTTGGAAGACCTCTTCCTGCCTCTCCGCCTTTCAAATAAAATAAAAATATCTTTTTTTAAATGAAAAGTTCAAATAAGAAAGCAGGTAGATGTTTTAAGTTGTACACCAAAAATTGGACTGGTTCCCAGAAAGCACTCCATCAGGAGTATTTCCTACTTAAGCATCAATCCAGGGTATTTTGCACTTAATCACCATCATCATGACCAAGATCCAAACCTGGGTACAATATCTCTTCTGAAATCTTACCATGAGGTTCAGAAAGGCAGAAATTAATTTACAAAGGCAAAAGAATGCCATAGAGATCAGTAACACATGCAGGCTGCATGAGAGCTCCAAGGTGCTATCTGTTGTGGTTTCCTTTCAGACAACCACTCAGCACTTAAAAACTGTATGTGCAATTAAGTATGTGCAACAGATAATTGTTTTTAATGAATAACCAAACTTAATCACAAGGACAAGGGATTTCTGGTCATGATTTTCTAAACACAAAATCTCAGTTATAGTCTCAGTGTTCATATATGTCAAATATTTGATTACAAAGTGAACTTCTTTTACATTGAATAAATCTTCAATACACTGGCTGTAAATGCACCCTCACTTCTTTCCAAGAATCCAGTGAGCTCTGGGTCACCTCTTAAGCTTGGTTCTCCTGGTAGCCACTGCTTTTCTTAGAATATTTAATCTGTCCTTAGAGTATCCAAGTCACTTTCCTTTCCTTTGTTACCTGGGTCCTGGGGATATTTCCAGTATAAATTTCTCTTTCAAGCCAGTGATCCCTTCAGTTCCTTTAACTCTCCTGGGACACTCTATTTATTCTGGCTCCATGGTTTTGCATAGCTTGAGTAAACCTCTTATTTCTCTTCCTTAAATTTGACAGAGAAAACTGGTTTAGAGATATCAATCAAGTCCTTTCAGAATAGTGTACCAGCCTAACCTACCCTTCTGCACTCCTATTCAGGAATTTCCACCATTAAGTGTAAGTTCCACACCTCACTTCTTGGCTCTCATCTTTTTATATAGTACTGAGACATACATCAAGGACCCTAAGAATAAACACTGTAAATCGCTATGGAGGCCTTGAGGAGAATAAGACCACACTCTGACCCCAAATTCTCAAATAATAACATTCGACGCTTCAGAGTTCAGAAGGGAATTGTCAGAGCACCCATTCCCATGAGGGGGCAGTCTAACAAACCAAGCAAGAAGCCATCTGGTCAGTCTCCTAGAGATTTCTGTGACCTGGCATGGGGGGAGGGAACAACGGAATAAACAGCTGACGCTAAAAGGTGGCATGGACTTAGGAGGAAAAGCAGAGAATCTGATGAGATGCTGTGGACAAAAAAACAATTGTCTCGCAGTGGTCTCCCTTAACCAAGTGCCAATTCCACTCACAGTCACAGCACTATTTAGGATCACCAGAAATAGATACAACTCCAAGGAAAACAGTGTACAGAAATCCCATGTTAACTGGGATTAGGCATCTGTCGTCCCATTGAAATTAAAGCACAAAAGGAACTAAATGCACTTGTAGAATATAAAGAAAATTATGTAACTTTTTTTATTTGACAGAGTTATAGACAGTGAGAGAGACAGAAAATTATGTATCTTAAACACTTGAGTTGATAAGGATCCATACTCAAGAGAGAAGCAGAACTTTGTCAAGAGACAGTCTTATTATGCATAATAGGAACAGTTTCAATAAATATTTGTATGACAACACAAAGGCTCTTCAAGATTTCCTAAATCTCCTATTCTTTCATTTCCCTCTCCAGTAAGGTTTATGTCCATATATTGTATATAAACAATTGCTTAACACAACAAATATTCATCCATGTGCTATGTGTTATATTAGATATTGCAAGTCATGTAAAGAAATGAATAATATACAGGCTCCTCCTTCAAGTGATTTGTACTCTAACTGGGGACAGGTGGACAAATTCAATGATTATTGTAGTATACTGGTTTATACAAAACAAGTTTTAAGAATGAAAAATATTTCTTAAGTTTAAACAAGTGTGCTGATCAAGAAAATCACTAAGGAAAATGTCACAGAGAGTGTTTTTCAAACAGTGGATGAATATTCATTTGTGCTCATAAAATTATTTTAGGAAGTTACAACTAGAATTTGTCAGGATAGGATGGGACAGACAGAACTATAATAAGCAAAAAGAAAACTGATCAGTGTCGGGAGCTATATGCTCCAAGTGGAAACCAGCAGAGCATGAGAAAAAAATAAGAAAACAGGCAATCTGGGTTTATGCTGTCAGAGGACTTCTGGAAGTATTCTATTTAAAATATTTTTCCTTTACTATAGGAAAGCTGACTCCCATTTGAAATTTTTAGTCAGCTGAACTGTATCACTCCAGTTGAATCTTTTAGTAACTAATTCATAGCCTTAATACCCTCGTAGTGCCTTTGAAATAATCTCCTTCGTCTACACCACTGATCTAGGAATTCTGATAAAGCCAACTTCACACACTCACATGCACTCATGCAACTCCCTGAAGACCCAGATCTGGATGCAGATTAGTGTAACACATCCCACCCTTAATACACCGATGATGCTTGCAACCACAGCCCCTGATGCACAACCAAGATATACCTCAAAACCCTCCTCTGTGACTTAAAACACATTATCCCCATCTCCTTTCAAAACATGTCATTTGTTAGGGAGTCAGCAGGATCAGGATGGGCAACACGGAGTCTTTCAATGAGTGCTTTGCTCTGTACAAACTCTACAGCCCATGTTAAAGTCTGCTGACAGGACCTGCCTGGTTCCCAAGCTGTCCAGTAATTAATACTCCATTCAGCAGAAAAGAATGACATGAATTTGGAGGGGAGAGGAGGAAACTGGAAGGATTCGAAATCCCTTCTGCTATGGGTTCAAGTAGTAAACATAACGTTCGACCACTGTAGCTGTAAATGATTATATAAAGTCTAAATCAGAAAAAAAAAAAGGCCCTGCAGCAATTTTTCTTAAAACATCAAGGAATCAACCAGCATAAGAAACTCTAACAGTTTATTCAGAATGCCCAGAGACAAGCCAAGAAGAGAAAAATAACAGGTCGACATTGTGGAGGAACAGCTTAAACCATCACTTTTTAGGCCAGCATCTTGTATCAGTGTGCTGGTTGGAATCCCAGCTTTCCAGCTTCCAATCCAGCTCCCTGCTAATGCACCTGGGAAAGCAATGGATGACAGCCCAAGTACTTGGGTCCCTGCCACCCATGTGAGAGACACAGATGGAGTTCCTGGCTCCTGGCTTTGGCTTGGGGCATTTGGAGAGTGAATGGGAGTTCTCTTTTATTCTCCTTTTTTTCTACTTTTCAAATAAATAAATAGAAAAATGAAGACCTTAAGAAAGAATATGAAGATGTGTTCATATGAAAAAAAATGATCTAATCAATAAATTTTTATCAGATCGCTACTATGTGCAAAACCATGATGGCATTTCAAAATAAGTAGGTTTTGAGAATCAAATACTGAAAACAGAAATAGGATTCTTCCTGGGTTTGCTTTCTGACAGCTGATCTTAGACTCAATTGATCCTTGCCATAAACATACAGTCTCTGGTCTGACGTTCCTGATAGTCCCATCTCATCATTGTGGGAACATTACTAAGTGATTTAACAGACTCTCTTCCAGAAAAGACAAGTGGTCTCAATACCAGGTTAGCAAAATGTTTGTGATCATCGCCTCTGCCTCTGTCTTCTTTGTCTAGGTTTCAAACACACCCACCTCCTTCCATGAGAAACCACGGTAAAACTTTTGAATTGTTCCTGGTAAGTACTTTATCTGTGCAATCCCTTCTGGTCTCTCTGTCATTTTCGTAGATGTAATCAATTATTTCAGTCAAACAAAATGCACTGCCAACTTTCCAGAATTCCTAGAATGATTTTAACTACTAGCTTGGGGTTTTTATTCAGTATGAACATAAAAGTTATTATATTCTAATTGCTTGTGATTGTTACTACGCGGAGATTTATTTTGGTTGGTTATTTCAAGAGACTGTTAAAATGAGTTTAGTGACTTCATTCTGGTTTTCCTGATTGATTCTATTATTAGGACTGTGGAAGCCTGGGGCCTTTTGGCCTTACTGAACATCTTGAACAATTTTTTAAACAGTTTGGGTTTGGCAAAACCTATTTTGCCAAGAACATTACCCCTTAATTTTTAAAACCATGTGCATTTTAAGGAAAATGTAATCCATATGTTCCTAATTCCTCTGTACTAAACACATCAAAATGTTTTGTAAGAACGGCTTGATTTCCAAGAAGCCGTGTGAACCTTCCTTATAAGACATTTTAAGTTAGTTTCTTTTAAAACGGGAAATTATTTCTGCCAAGGATAGAGTTAGTTAGACACCATGCTTCAAGAAATTTATGAACTAAGTGAACATATTTTATGTTTCTATGGAACTTATCTACAGAATTAAGTGGTAGCAAAATGCAGAAACACGCACACACACACACACACACACAAATAAACAACTGAGCCATAAGATCAGTAAATTAGAGGCATTTTTAAAAATATGTATGTTTTCTGAATCCTGAGACACTGAAATACTTAGTTATACATGGTTTGTTTGATAAAAGCACCTGATTCAAAGGATTTTGTTGAGAATAAGGACAATTTTTGCTTCATTTTGTTTTGCTTTTTAGGTTCAGGGGTCATCTTCTAGATCTTTTCTGAATATCTGTTTTCATTGTTATAAATGAATTTTCCCCAGAGGATTTGGAAATTTTAATTCCACTTACTTTCATTTTAATATATCTAATTCCAGTGGTAAAAATCAAATATTAACAGTTGAGACCACCTATGTCTGTTTTTTCCTGTACCTGTATACAAATGTGTGTGTGTGTTCATGCATGTATGTGATCCTAGATGTTCTTCTAGGTATTCAGGTAACTGCAGCTTTCCCCATTAGTCTCTCAAGGAGAGTTCAAATTATTAATTTAATACATAAACTGGTAGATTTGATAATCATTCTTCCCAGTCAGTGTCCATGGGCTGATGTGTCCAGCACAAGTCCAGCACTTTGAGAGGCCAACATGTTATTTGAAAGGCAGAATTACAGAGAGGCAGAGGCAGAGAGAGAGAGAGAGGTCTTCCATCCATTGGTTCAGTGCCCAGATGGCTACAACTGACGGAGCTGCGCTGATCTGAAGCCAGGAGCCAGGAACTTCTTCTGGTTCTCCCATGTGGGTGCAGGGGCCCAAGGACATGGGCCATCTTCCACTGCTTTCCCAGGCCATAGCAGAGAGCTAGATCAGAAGTGGAGCAGGCCAGCGCCGTGGCTCACTAGGCTAATCCTCCGCCTTGCGGCGCCAGCACACCAGGTTCTAGTCCCGGTCAGGGCACCGGATTCTGTCCCGGTTGCCCCTCTTCCAGGCCAGCTCTCTGCTGTGGCCAGGGAGTGCAGTGGAGAGAGGCCCAAGTGCTTGGGCCCTGCACCCCATGGGAGACCAGGAGAAGCACCTGGCTCCTGCCATTGGATTAGCGTGGTGCGCCAGGCGCAGCGTGCCGGCTGCGGCGGCCATTGGAGGGTGAAGCAACGGCAAAGGAAGACCTTTCTCTCTGTCTCTCTCTCTCTCACTGTCCACTCTGCCTGTCAAAAAAAAAAGAGAAGAAGTGGAACAGCTGGGACTAGAACTGGTGCCCATATGGGATGCCGACCCTGTCATGAGGTTCTGCCCTCATTACCAGGTTTACAGGTTTAATGCCCTTGAAGAAGGCCATAGAGCACTATGTATTCCATCTGTCAGGGGAGGACACATCTATGAACTAGGAAGTGTGCCCTCTCCAGGCAATGAATTTGTCAGTGCCTAGATCTTGGACTTTGCAGCTTTCAGACCATAAGAAATAAGTTTCTCTTGTTTGTAGGCTGAACAGTTTATGGTATTTTGTTAACGCAGCCTGAATGAACTAAGACAGAAGTGTAACCCAGCTCTGTTATGCTCCCAAAAGATTAAAGAATTTCATAAATACAAATAATACACAATGGATCCCCCAAGTATCTAAAATAATAAATAGCAGAGACATCCATAATTCTGTTAAATTAGTCTGAACTTCCTGGATAGACATCATCAATACTTTCAGATTTAAATGCCAAACTACAAAAAGTATTTCTCATGTGAAATAATAATTGATGATGTCATTAGCAGCAGAACTGCTCTGTATGACCCAATAGGAATACTTTTAATGAATGGTTCTTAAAAAGCAGTTTATGCTTCAAAATTTTATAAGATTCATCAATATGTTTCAATATTCTCAAATCTTTGTAGAGTAGAAAATTTAATTTGTAGATTAGGCTAGGTCATGGGAGGGAAAAAGGAAGGAAGAAAGAACAAATAGGAAAATGGAAAAGAGAGAGGGAAGGTGGGAGGGCCCAAAATAAATAAAAATTGCAAAGAAACTTATGGATATATATATTTAAATATTTTATTTATTATTTTATTTGAGAAGTAGAGTTACAGACAGTAAGAGGGAGAGACAGAGAGAAAAGTCTTCCATTTGCTGGTTCACTCTCCCCAGACAGCTGCAATGGCTAGAGGTAGACTGATTCAAAGCCAGAAGCCAGGAATTTCTTCTGGGGCTCCCAATTTTCCAGCCACAGCAAAGAGCTGGATCGGATGAGGAGCAGCCAGAACTAGAACTGGTGCCCATATGGGATGCTGGTGCAGCAGGGGGAGGATTAACCTAATGCACCACAGCACAGGTTGAAATATGTATATATTTTAAAAGTGGATCTAACCAGCTTGAACTACAATATTCTGGCAAGTATGTAGAGAACAGGGAATACACAGTTGGTGGGAATATAAATTAGTAAAGTCACTATGGAAAATAGTATAGAGATTCTTAAAAACCTAGAAATAGCACTATCACAAAATCCAGCAATCCAACTACTGGGTATTTATCCAAAAGGACATGAAATCATTCTCTCAGAGATACCTACTCCATCAAGTTTAGTTTTTTAAGATTTATTTATTTATTTGAAAGGAAGAGAGTTACATGGAGAGAGAGATAAGCAGAAAGACGGGGAGAGAGAGAAGGAGAGAGAGAGAGAGAGAGAGAGAGAGAGATCTTCCATCCTTGGGTTCACTCCCTAAAAGGCCGCAACAGCCAGGGCTGAGCCAGACCCAACCAGGAGCTTGGAACTCCATCTGGGTCTCCCACGTGGGTGGCAGTGGCCCAAGCACTTGGGCCATCTTCCGCTGCTTTTCCAGGTGCATTAGCAGGGGGCTGGAGCAGAAGCCTAGCAGCCAGGATGCAAATCGGTGCTCAAGTGGGATGCCGGAGCTGCAGGCTGCAGTTGAGCCTGCCTTGCCACAACAAAGGCCCCCTACTGCACCATGTTCATTGTAGCACTCTTCACCAGAGCCCAGACATGAAATAAACCAGGTGTCCATCAACAGATGAATGGGTAAATAAAATGTATGTATAAATTGAAATCCTATCTTTGCAGCAAAATCAGTGAAACTGGAGCACATCATATTAAGTGAAATAACTCAAACACAGAAAATTACCACATGCTGTACCTCCTAAGTGGAAGCTAAAGCTCAATCTGAACACAAAATGATGATTACTAGAGGCCAGAAGAGAAAGATGGGGAGATGGAGTCTAGATAACAGGAACCAAAATATAGTTATATCAAAGGAGTAAGTTCCTAATGCTACACAGCACAGTGAGGGGACTATAGTTCAGAACAACTCAGTATCTATTCAATTAGTAAATAGAAGAAAGGAGCTCAAGTTCCAATCATAAAGTAATGCAAGAGAAAGGGAAATATTGATTACCCTGATCTGATCAGTGTGCATTGCATAAAAATGCCACAATGTAGCTCATAAATATGCACAATTATTGCTAATAAAACAAAAAAATCAATAAAGATAATAAAGCTAACCAATGGAATTCTATCTAACTTGCATTTCTGTTTTTCACAACTCTGTTTTGAATTGTTTCTTGTAAAATTTCTGTGTAATTTACTTTTAAATTTCAAATCCTTCCTCTGGAGGAATTAAAGGTCAATGTATTGAGGAACGCAATAAAGGTAGGCACGGAATACAGGTGATATTAATGCAAATTTTTCTAATGAATAAATATTTTTGAAATTTAGAAAACTCAACCTATGACCTATTAAATTAACTGTTTTATTTTTGAATCATTCGCAGCAATTTTGAAAGGTAAAATAAAGTTAATTTGAAAAGCTTCCAATTACAAGGAAAGTCTTCTAAGTTATCACAATTAAATACTTATTTGACTGTACTTCTGACATGCTTGGTCAACCTTTTCTTCCTTTATATGAATCTGTACTGAACCAAATATCCATTTCAATAGCAGTCTTCCAACACCAGATTCCAATCTTGCACTGAAGCCTGTTTGAATTTGTGATCACAGTAATAACAGAAAACGGGCTTTACTCTGTTTATGGATTGTGAGTAAACAACAGAAGTTGTGAAGAAGCAAATTGTTTACCCATGTGAGGTGAATGAGTTTTTCCAGAAGAGCAGGATTTAGTGCCCTCAAGGAGGCAATTTATTAAATGGCGCCAGAAATGTGTGTTCATTTCACTGGTCTGAATAGAGCAAAGGCATCATCATTAAACGGTTACTTTAGGGCACTAGGATTTCTGTATCAGGTATTAGGTAAACTTTATTGTAAATGCACTCAGTCCTCCCAAGCAGTAACAGCAACATGACAACACCTACATTATACAACAGAACCACATATTTATACAGGGGATAATTTGCATGACCTACTGTGGGTAAAACATAATTCATTTCTTTCATCTGCAAACATGGCCATAAAACAACGATTTATACAATCCCTCTCCATTCTGAAATAAGACTGATTTATTTTTAAACATTTATTTATTTGAAAGGCACAGTTACAGAGGGGAAAAGAGAGAGAGGGAGAGGGAGAGAGAGGCGAGAGAGAGAGAGAGAGAGAGAGCGCGCGCGCAAGAGAGCTGCCTACTGCTGGGTCACTCCCCAAAAGGCCACAACAACCAGAGCCAGGCCAATCTGGAGCCAGGAGCCAGGAGCTCTTCCAAATCACCCACACAGGTGCAGGGGCCCAGGGACTTGGACCACCTTCCATAGCCCAGAGCTGAACTGGAAGTGTAACAGCCAGGACTCTAACTGGCACCCATATGGGATGCCGGCACTGCAGGTAGCAGCTTTACCCGCTACACCACAGTGCCGGTACCTGATTTATTTTCTTCTCAATGTGTCAACTTACATCTTCCAACTTGTATTAAAAAAAATTTTGATTTCAATAATGTATCTTTCTTACTCATTCCAAATATATACATAATTACCAAGTCAATGTAAAAGTTGTTTCATGGTTGTGACAAAATCTGCCTTCAAATAACATGAGGTCCTCAGTCATATCATTTCTCATCTCCTCTATTATCCACCCAGAAATAAGTGATGATTCTGCTCATCTTATGAGGTAGGTGTTAGAAAGTTTCTTGGATTTGGGGGAAAAAAGGCAAAATACAGATACAAATAGAATCCTGATTATATCTTTGTAAAACTTGTAAATTTATTTGGGGAACTGTACTGCTCAGCCAGAAAATGTTTTGAAAGAAATGAGTAAAAACTAAGGGCCCTTAGATATAAAAGTCAAGCCAGATTAACTTCTGATAAAATCCAACGTGACAAAATTTAAACTACTATTGGCAAAATGGAAGTAGATTAGCCATACGAACACACAGCTCAGTTCCTTGCTTTAGTGTCCATCGTGAACACATTTCAGATTTCAAGATTCCGTCAAAGAAGTCCCATACTCTCCATTCAATAAAGAACCATCAATCTATTCTAAGTCATACAGGTGCTCAAAAAACATCAATTCATTGGTTTCATTTTGTTCAGAGAAAAGTGTTCAACAAGAGGAGGAGTGACGGCGCTCTATTTATGGGCCAGGTACACTAGGAGCCCAGACACAACTAGACTGTTGTCCCTTTGGATACAGAACCCAAACACAACTAGACTGTTGTCCCTTTGGTATAGTTGTGCTTTCCTCTTCCTTACGCCCCAGCCCCTAACACGTGTAGTGGGTAATGAACAAAAACGGGTTGTAAAATAAGGATAATGTACTTGATATGTAGTTTATTTAACATAGAGTGAAAACTGAACGTTAGCAAGACAATCAAATACTTCTAATTCCTTCTGTGGTCATTGGTGCCATGTACTTCACAAATTTTACTTTCAATTCTTAAAATTACTCAAGGAGGCATTAGAATCCTCTTTTCACTGAAGAGGACATTCCCAAGAGGTTAAAAAAATCATCCACACATAAGTTGCTAGCGATTAGGAGCCCAATCCCAAGGCCAGTGTGTCTGACAGTAAGCCTTTCTTTCCACTGCAGAACACTCCTTGGCAACTGCTTAAGCAGAAGCCAGTCAAGTTACATAACAATGTCAAAAGACTCCTACAGAGAAGTAAGGAGAAAAAGGCTATTCCACTTTAAGGCTGGCTAGTATCTTCCTGCCAGATCTCTAATAATAGGCTTATTTTGTGCCTGAGTGGTTTTAATTTATTTCACCAAAATGATTTTTCCAAAGAAACATTTTTATTTAATGAGTACAAATTTCTTAAGTACAACTTTAGGAATATAGTGATTCTTCCCACTATACCTGGCCTCCCACCAGCACTCTCACCCCACCTCCTACTCCCTCTCCCATTGCAAAGTCCCACTCTCCATTATGATTCATTTTAAATTAACTTTATACACAGAAGACCAACTCTATACTAAGTAAAGATTTCAATAATTCACACACATACACACAAAATATAAAAACTGAGGAGCTGGTACTGTGGTGTAGCAGGTAAAGTCACTGCCTACAGGGCAGCATCCCATTTGGGCACCAGTTCTAGTCCCAGTTGCTCCACTTCCGATTCAGCTCTCTGCTATGGCCTGAGAAAGTAGTGTAAGATGGCCCAAGTCCTTGGGCCCCTGCACCCATGTGGAAGACCCAGAAGGAGCTCCTGGCTCCTGGCTTCAGAATGGCACAGCTCCATCTGTTGCAGCCATCTGGGCAGTGAACCAATGGATGAAAGACCTCTATCTCTCTCTCTGCCCCTGTCTCTCCATAATTCTACCTTTCAAATATATATATAAATCTTTAAAAAAGATTGTTTGAGAACCAGTTTTCGGTTAATTCTCATAGTACAACTCATTGAGGACAGAGGTCCTGCATGGGGAGTAAGTGCACAGTGACTCCTATTGTTAATTTAACAATTAACACTCTTATGTATGACATCAGTGCTCACTGA